TCATGGACGGCCTGCCGGTGACGGTCCGTCTGCTGGACCCTCCCTTGCATGAGCGCAGCCCTCAGTACGGACACGGTCAGTAATGCCTCGGTATCAAAAGATGACAGTATGCAGATGTCATGATATGAGTTATAGTGTAAACTCCTTAAAGGGGATTATACAGGGGACGATTAGAGGGGTTATTAAGGAGGATACTAGGAGTTCAGACAATACGTCATATGAAGGCTGACAGGAATGCAGCGGTGCCAATCGCAAGTGTACCAATAGCAAGAGTATGAATCAAACTCCACAGAATCCTTAACAAACCGTGCGGAGAATCCATTCCCTCATGCCCTGCAAGGTCTTTGCCAAGCTTAAAACCTCCAAAGATAAACAACAACTTCTGAATGCTGTACGCCCCAAAGACACTGGGCTCCGAGGTTCATCCCGCACACGGAAGCTGAGATGGGCTTGGTGGCAAAGGCCGCCGGTGTGCCCTTGGATCATTCCTTAGAGGTCTTTAGGGTTTAGGGTTATTCGGGATGAGGACTTGGGGTTTTAGGTTTCGGGATGAAGGTTTCGATTTCGGAATCCGGTTTAGAGATGGCAGTTGCGGCTTTAGGGATTAGATCTCGCATTTAGGGTCGCTCCGTTCCAAATCGAGCCCATGATCTAGGTGCCTTTGGACCGTGTGCGCCGCCGGGCCAGTGAGCTGCAAGAGGCCAATCCCATGCTTGGCCACCGAGGTGCGACTGCATAGCATGAGCGGGAGGGTATGTCAATGTCTTTCAACAGGAAGGGGGCGCCATTTTGGGGAGAAGATCCTCAGTTTTCAGGTAGCAAATTACGAATTACGTAAGGAGTCCTTCATGTTGTGAAGCCATCTGAATGCGAAGCCCGTTCCCCTACCTCCACCTTGGTCTCTTCAGGTTGCCGTCTGGCCATTACCTATCCGGAAATCTGCGAGATGCAGGCACGGAGGTTTGTGGGATGTGTTTCTTGCAGCAGCTTCTCCGGGCACCAAGAATCCCCATCGCAACGTACGGATGCCTGGATTTAAACTATTTGTTTCCAATGCAGATACATCCTTACATAGCCGGATAAAACCCAGTCCCCTCTGCATTCGCGCTCTCACCCCTGTGTGTCCCTACAGAGTCCTTCCTATCAAGCCCATAGAGCTGATACGACGGCCAGTCCTTACTCCTGCCAAGTCCTCCTCAGCAGGCTCGGGCCATCTTCGAGGCAGCAGCAGAGGTCGGCCGCAGCGCCAAGAAGACACCGGTGGCTGAGGTCATGGTACCTTTGGTGTCCACCTTGGAGGCAGCTGGTCTGCATTGTTTCAGGTTTTGAGGACTTTTTCAATGTCTTTTTCCTTGATTTGTTCACCTTGTGCTTTGTCTCCTTCGCGCTGTCCTCTGTCCAGGTCCAGCTTGAGGAAGTTGAAGGAACGTTCTGTACGCATGTGTAAAATGTCTGTCTGATTTTTCTGTAATTTTCTGCAATTGTTTCGCTGGCAGGAAAGGGGTATGGCTTTGCAAGCATTGCATATTGACATGAGACTTAACACTTTTGAGTCAGGAGCTGGTTCAGCTGAAGAAGGTGATCGAAGCAACGGCCCAGCAGGTTCAGAAGGAGCAGGGCGTGAATTTCACATACCGCGTTGGAACTATGGTGCGAGCTGCCCAACAAAGGAGTCCTTCTATGTTCTTCTTGTAAGGTGCTTGTGTACGGCTTACCTAGTTTTGGGTCTGTCTATCCTCCGCCCAAACTCGAAACCTCCCTAACTCCAAACCGCCACAACCCCAAACCCCATTACTCCAAACATGAAACCCCATCCTTTGCGGGAAGCTGTCAGGTGGAGCTACCCCGAGCTGCACTGCAAGCAGGCCGCCTCGCAGAGCAAGCGGAGTTCTTCAGCTTTGGTACCAACGATCTGACCCAGACTACATATGGCCTAAGCCGGGATGATGCAGGCAGGGGGGAGGCTATGAGAACAGAAGGGCAGGAAAGCAAGCTTTTGGATTTCGAGCTTATGGTTCAGCATGTGCGGATTTCCTCGATTTTGTAGAATCACATTTGGTAATAATGGCGTTGCGCCGTTTAGAGAAAACTCGAACATGTGGGGTCCCCCTCAGGAGCCTTCCTGCCTGAGTACAAGGCAAAGGGTATCGTCGAGCAGGATCCCTTTGTGAGCCTGGATCAGGAGAGGATGTCTGAGGGTTGAGGGTTGTAGAGACTTATTCCTTAGGTCCGCTAGAGGAGGTATTCGGTCCTCCTATATAGTCCTTACCTACAGTGCATCTACTGGATAAG